AGCTATAAAACCACTGGCCGGCGGTGATATACCCCAGGCTTCCGATGGATTGATATGGCTCCCTTGCTTGGGGTGCATGCTTCTGGGCCAAATCGGTGTGTTTGTTGATGGCCCTGGGGCCAGAAATCGAATCCCGGCGCAGAAATGAAGAACAGCCGCTGGGATTTTCCCGTGGCAGAAACGCAGAGCGAACTCCCACCCGCACGCCGTTGTCCGAGTGGAAAAGCACCGCGCGTACCGCCCAGAAAGACAATACAAGCAGCTAGAAGCTTGATGCCTCGTCGTCGTCCTCCTCCTCCTCCGCATTCACCTCCTTCCGGAATCAGGACAATCCCCCTCCCCTCTCTCGCGGTTTCTTTGAGCAGCCTGACATGGTCAACACGGTCGAAAGAGAACGGTTTGCCCGTGTGCAGGAAAGTGATGTAATGTGAGATGACGCCAATACGTTGATATGCCCAAATTCCACCCATCAAACCTGGGTCCCTCCACCCGCCTACTTCCGTAAGACATGAATCGTAATGTATCGTTGTGAATGCAGGTGCCTGCAATGAGACCAGAAAATTGCGCACGAATAACCCCGGCGATCAACATCCGCCGTACTTCTTCAAAGTATTCGCTGATTGGTACGATGTTCTTAACAAGCCGGAATCCACGGTCGTTGGCCCTTGCTCTGTCCCCCACCTGTTGGCTGCTTCATTGGCACGGTGATGAAAAAGAAAAAAAAAACTCGTCAGTGTTCGCCCTGTTGACGTATGTTTTGTTTGGAGTTTGAGATGCTTCAGGCCTTCCAACTGAAACGGGACACGTTTCTTTTCAAGCGCGTCATTTACTTGCACAGACTTTAGCCCGTACGTGAGTTTAGAGCGCACGACGGAGTCATACACGCCGAGCATGAGCCTTACGCTGCAATCCGAATGATTCCAGATCTCCCCTAGTTTCTTCCAGGTGACAAAACCATCGGAGATCCGCTTGTTCACCTCCCTGACAGGGTCGCCCTTGTCGTGCAACATGCTGCCCCAATATTTGGACTCACTGTGCGGTGGCACTTGTTGGCCACTTCTGTAGGTTCGCCCTCCCTCTCGATTGCGTGTGAGGAGCAGTTGTTGCAAGGCCTCCTTGCCCTCCGAAAAGATGATGGTGTCGTCCGCATACTGGACCTCATCCAGTAGGGCGTTTAGTACCCTGTGGTGACCAAGTGTTTCACGAAGCCCCGGCGTGCTGTGGACGTCCCGAAACAGGACTGTCGCAACGATGAGAAACATATGTGTGGACAAAAGGCAGCCTTGTCGGATGCCCGTGTGTTTGCGGTGCAATTTCGATGCCCTCCATGTCACATGGAACTGTGGATTATTGCACGCTTCTTGCGTGAGCGAAATGAGCTTCTCGTGGGTACCCATCCTTTCAATGACTTTAAACAGCCCGCGTGCGACATCTTGCCGAATGCTTTCTCACAGTCAAACAAAATCAAGTTGATGTTTCGGCTCGTCCTCTCTCCCAAATCCACAATCCGACGTGTGATGTGTACTGCGTGTGTCGTTCGTCGCTTCTTCCGGAAACTGTATTGTACCTTTTCGAGGTACGGATCAATCGCGGCGGCGATGCGACGTTGTAGCGCGGCCGCGAAAATCTTTCACATTAAATTCAAAGGGGAACTCGGCCTGTTGTTGCTGAAATTGCCCGTCTCCTTTTTGTAAATCAGAACGACCCGTGTTCATAGTTGCTCTTCTGGTATACCCTCCTCTTTCGACCAAATTCTCAGCCCCGTTAAAATGAGAGTAAGCATTTCGTCGTCCAATTCTTTGTAGGTTTCCATGGGCACGTCGTCTGGCCCCGGCGCCCGGCACCTTTAAATGTTCGGTCTGCCCCCCGGAATTCGGGCAATGTCATGGCGTCCGTGGTAGAAAACAAACGTTGTTCTATGATCCGGGGGCCGTCAAAAAGCTGTGCGTTCATCCTCCCTCGCCGGCCAGATGTGTTGCTCCATGTGCTTTGCCGCGCCTTCAGCTTGCCAGACACTCGGACTGTTTTCCCACTCGGGTCTTTTTGTGTATATGGGAGGGGTTTATAATCAGACTTCAGATGTCCGGTGCCGCACCAGCGATCCCTGAGATTTACATCCTTCCACACAGATGCGGGTGCCCTCTCTTTGCGTTCTTTCCGTTTCTGTCTTTGGACAGCCCGATTCAGCTCCAGAGCCGCTGGGATGAAACAAACAATCACCTGGAGCCCGATTCGGCAATTACACCATTCGGCCCGAAGGTGACCACGAGTCCGATGCGGCAAATACACTATTCATGCGGCTCGCTTCCTGCAGGGAGGCTTCGGCTAATCACTGCAGCAGTGGGCCCGGGAAGACAACGACCGGGGCGAATGCTGGCGCACCGCCCGCGCGCGCCGTGCCTCAGTCACCAGGGACCCCACAGCGCCAGTGATCTCGAAACTATCGGGACACCCGCCCATCTCGGCACTGCCCATGTTGGCACAAGCCTCGCCCGCGCTGCGGTCAAACACAGGCCCAACCTACGCCGTCCTGCGGTTTCGGGACCATCTTCGTGGTAGAGTTATCCCCCATGTTGGGGTTGGTGCGGTAATTGGTGTCGAACGACCATACGGATTGCAAGCTGGTTCGAACATTTGCATGTCCAAAAAAGGTTCTGTACAAGAGCAACGGACACAAACGCACACTTTTCACATCGCGGCGCGGCAGGAACAGTCCGCCCTCGCGATCAAGCAATCCCGGTGACGGCATCGCGAATTGTCCGGCAGCAGGAATCGGAAAGTAGGGGGAGGGAAATCGGCCGCGGGCGGAGGAGAGGAACGAAGGCGCTCATGCGGTGGGGCCCGCTGCGGAGCGGCCGGAGCGGCCAGCCAGAGCCTCACCCTTGGCAGCGGGCACGGGGCGGCGTCGCGGCCACACCCAGGGGGCAGAGCCTGCAGTGCGCGATGAGGAAGTACCACGGATCACTCCGCACTATGGCTGAGCATGGAAGCCGTTGTCTGCGCCAGGGATGCGCCGCCGTAGTGGAAGGGTTGATACTCGTAAGGTGGTACGCCGCCCCGAGAAGCATCGATGCCCTGGTGCAGCAGAGCGGACAGCGGCACCTCAGGCGGCAAAATGCGGTGGAACAAGTGCTTTGCGGGCTGCGGGGCGTGGGCAATGCTGCCAGCTGTAGTTTCTCTAGGCGGCTGGGGGGGAAGGGTCCCCACCAGACCGGCCAGTACAGAAGCGGTGCTGCAAGCGGCGGGGGCGCAGAAGCGCGTCCACACAGCAAAACCACGGCGGCGAGACCGAGAAAACGGTGGTTGCCTGAGACCCGCCAAAGAGGGCGGCGGCAAGGCGACCACGGTGACCCCGGCAGCCATCAGGTGAGCGGGGGACAAGGCAGAGGAATCCGCACGCGGTCTGAAGCCGGCGAGGCGACGGGGAGGGCAGCGAACCCGAACCCCAGCCGGTGCACACATCACAGCTGAGGGCGGGCGGCACCTCGCTCAAGGGGTGGCAGGGCGAAGGCTCCTCGCGACGTGACGGCGGAGCGAAAAGGGGGCGGCGGGCGCAAAAGCGCGGGCACCCAAGTCGGGCTGGCAGCTGGCGACTCCCTGCACGCACCACGGGCCGGCTGGCGCAGAGTCATGGCTGACGGGAGGGCCTCCGCGGACAGCGCGTGCAACAAGCGAGGATCACGCAGCTGCAGGCGGTTGCGGCTTCCCACCGAGGCGGTGGGAGGCAGCGCGAGTCCAGGTACTAAGAAGACGCACCTGATCGGTGCAGAAGCAGATGTGACGGCTGCGGCAGCGCCTGAGGGGAGGCGCCGCGGAGGAGGGGGGCGCACCACCTGGGATGGATGGCGCGCCCCATGAGGAAAGAGGGAGGTGCACCACCTGGGGTGGATGGCGCGCCTCGAGGGGAGAAGGGGAGGTCGCACCACCTGGGGTGGATGGCGCGCCACATACGAACACAAGGCCTGTACGAAGGCGAGGCTTGGAAAACAAGTGCGCACGCGCCCAAAATAGCTCTGAACTTAACTGTTGGAACGCCAACATGTATACAATACTTGGCTTTATTGTATACGTTCCGGACGTCAGCGAAGCAAGGCTGCTATACAACTGACAAGCAAGAGTGACATTCACGATTCGACGCGTTCCCTGATAACCAAATAGTTGAACGGATCGCCGGATCAAGGTACTGCAACGAGGCAGGCCGACGAACTCGACTCCGCGTCGAGACACCCCCCCGCAACAGGACATGTGCTGCGACGTCAACAGACACTTGGCGTGCAGCAGCAGGGACTCGGGGGTGGACAGAAACCTCTTTGCAGCAGACGCTCTCATGAGAACGGCCCGAGACCAGACCCGGCGGGCGTAGGTCTGCAAACACTGCGACCGCAACCCTCCCCCGAGAAACAAAGAAGGGCAATTTCATAATCGGCTTGGCAGAGTGGGGCGTGTACCCACCTCCGAGCACGTCGGAGCAGGGCGAGTTGATACAACGGTAGATCATGATCAACATCGGTCCCCATTACCCTCTCGGGGTCCAAACGGACCCGTTTTCCGAGCTGTGTCCAATCGTGGCGACTAGACTCTTCCTGGAGGAGGTCTGCCCTTCATCCGCCAGCCTGCCCTTGCGAGCGAAGCCGACACTGCTTTGCGTCTTCCCCCTTCCCGCCCGAGTTCGCCCAAAATCGATCGGCGAGCCCGTCGATTCCGCGAAGAGGAGGCCCCCCCTGTGAAACTCGGCGGCGAGCCCAGGGGGGAAGTGAGAGGGGGCAGGCCTTTTCAGAGGGCGGCGGGGCTTCTCAGAAGCTCTCGCGCATTCTGAGAAGCCCTGACAGCCTTCTGCGAAGCTGCAGACGGCTTCCAAGACCGCGCGAGGGCTTCTGAGAAGCCCAGCAGCCCTCTGAGAAGGCCTGCCCCCTTCTCACTTGACCCCCTGGGCTCGCCGCCGAGGAGCGCCCAGGTCGGAAGGCTGGGCTCTTCGCAGAGACTGCAACATCTTTTCACGCTCACACGGCGTACGCATACCTGCCGTCGGTCCTGCAGCGGCTCTCGACAAGCTCCCGCCAGCCGCTGCGGCTGGGCCCTGACAGGGTGAGATGTCCAGACCTCAGAGACCAGTATACTCAATATACTGCGACCGCCAGTCCAGTCAGGCCCTACTTCACAATTCCCTCCCACGCCCTCAAAGGGAACCCCTAAGGAGGGAACCGTCTACTTGGGTGGGCCTGATGTATGCGCCACGTCGTTGGGTCGGCCACGGAGTTTGGCGTGTAGACGGCCTCGGTTCCAAAGATATTCGGAGCTGGAGCGTCCCTACACAGACCTCCCAAACATACCAAGTAACGTGGCACATGCATCAAGCCCCTCTGATCGACCCCCGCGTGGGTGAGATCACCGTCATGGCAACCCAGTCCAGATCGGGCGCTAGAGCGAGACCACATATCGCCTTGGTTGAGAGACCGAGGGTGCAAGTTTGCCTTCTGACTCCACACGCACTCCCTACGAAGAGGGAAGGGGTGGAGGTGGAGGGGAGAATACGGATTGGCGGTCGCAACAACGGGTCTCGCAAGACCTCTTGAGGTGGTCCCTGCAGAGCTTCCAAGTCTTGAAGCCCTCCGAGCAGACGGGGCAGGTGAAGGGCATCTGCTTCTTGGCGGCGCCATTGCTGGTTGCCACCTCCTGTGTTTGGAGAGCTTCAGGCTGGCAAGGCTTGCAACTATAGCAATTCAGTACGGCCCCTCTGAAGAAACACATTACCCTGGCGAAGGACCCAACCATCTGCAAGTGGCACGAAGGAAGGTATTTATCGATGGGGCGTGGGAGGAGTGTGCCGACATGGGCCGGGAGCCTCATGTGGACGCACCCACTGGGATCTTAGGAGGAGCTTCCCATGGGGCCACGAAACGAATGAGGGGTTCGCCGAAATGGCGGGGAACCGCTGTGGACGCACCCACTGGCGCCTCGGTGGAGCTCCCTATGGGGCCACGAATCGTGTGGGAAGGCTTGAAACGCGTGCCGAAACTGCGGGTGGGGTGGGGCGTGAGTGGGGTGTGCCGATGTGGGCTGGAGGGCGCTATGTGCCCTCCCCCCCCTTATGCCCCGAGGGGGCTCCGGTAGATCTCCTTCGAAGCGTGTGAGAGGTATACCGGATGGAGCTGTGGGTCGCTATGTGCCTCCCCGCCCTGGGGGCTTCGGTGAACCAAGACGGCTCTGGCGGGCCCCAAGATGTTACAAGGAGGCCCCTAAGAGGGCCCCACGAGGCCCCCAACAGCCCAAGAGGCCCAAAGAGAGAGAACAGACGGTCCCGAGAGGCCCCCGAGACGGCCTCCGAAGGGGCCAGACGGCGCAAGGCCCCAAGACGGCCCACGAGGCCCCCAAAGGGTCCCAAGCGGCCCAAAAGAGGACCCCAAGAGGGCCCCAGGGGGCCCCCAAATGCTTTCAAAAGGCCCCGGAGAAGCCCCCAAACGGCCCCAAGAAGCCACCCAGAAGCCCGCGGAATCATATACAAAGGCGCGTTGCTGCCGTGCTCGTCGGAGCTCGAACTTGGCGCTGCCTTGTGCTGACATGCAGTGTGTGCTCTTGCCCTCGTGAACATCCGCACGCTCCTCCTGGCGCCGAAACGGGGGGGGGCGCATCCGCCTTCCGTGGTGCTGGCAGCGCCCCAGTGCGGGCAGAACGACACGGCAGAACTTCGCGGCAGACGAGCAGAGCAAACCACCCAACGCCCAGTCTCTGCGTGCGGACGTGCACCCCACGAAGCGAGAGGAATCGCGACCAGAGCTTTCTGCGGCATCTCTTAGACCGGATCGATCTGTGAGCGTGCCGGGGTCCGACCCTGGACGGACACGGCCCGTGTGGAAAAAAATATGCAACGCCTGGATCTCAGGGGAGGGTGGGAAGGGGGGGAGGAGGGGGGGCGGACGGATGATCGATGCAGCGGGAGTGCAGTCAGGAACTTTTGGATAGCGTGTCGCCGCGGCGGCCCCTGCGATAGGCTATGCCCTGCGAGTGGATTGCGTGTCGCTCCGCCCCGCGGGGCGGGAGGCTTCGAAAAGCTCGGGACGTTGTGGCCTGGGGACTGGGACCTGGGTAACGTGTCGCAACGAAGCGTGGTGTGCCAGAGCCGGCAGAGCGACACGCCAATTCTCCGGAAGTTCCCGACCGTGGGGAGCAGCTCCTGCTTCTCCACCTCCGACACGCGGAGCGGGCGAAGGCTGTCCAGGCGGCCCTCGGGCTCCCCCTCCAGCACCTGGGGCAGTGCCACAAAGGGCGTTCTTCTTGAGACTCAAGCGAATCCACTTGCATGGCATTCCCGCCCCCCCTTTCCCCCTCCCCACCCTTCCGCCGCCATTTCTAGCAATGCTGGGCCGAAAAGGCGGACAAGTGAGTCTCGGCTTGCGTGAAGTCGAGATTTCCATTCAGGCCTCGCCACGCCCTAACCCCTCCCCCTCCTCGCAAGTAAACTTGACAGAAGCCACAGAACAGCTGCCGCAAACGAGGGGTCACCACTGTGGTGGGAGCCACTTTTCTCAATAAGGCGCCGCTTCCTCGGGTAGGTGGCCCCCGAGATCACTCCAGAACCTTCCAAGACGACCCCCAACATCCCAAAAGCTCTTCGAGCTCCGATGCTGGAACTTCCAAAGCTCGGGCTGCATCTCCTGGATCGGTCGTGGACTCTCCTCATGGCTTCGTAGCGCGCGGAGCTCAGCACGGGTGGCGCCCAAGGCGCCGCCAGGAGGGCCTGGCGCCGATCCAGGAGATCCGCGGACAGCTCCGGCACTCAAGGTTTAGGCAGTGTCTCTGCTTGAAGGAAACTCGATGTCCAGGCAGGAGGGAATTTGCTACCCCCTGGTGCTAGATCTTGCGTCCTCGGAAAAGACGGACCATGCAGGCTGTTGGCAGCTAAAGGAATGATCTCGGCTAGCCTGGGAACAATCTACGGCGGCATCGTGTCGTGTCGATCCGGAACCTGGTTCTTGACACCGCGGCGATCGTTCAAACTTGAACGATCGGCCGTTTCAGAGACGTCAGATCGTTCTGGGCCACAGGCGTCGTTCAACCTGGAGCCGCCACCGGTCGACACGACACGAGCCTACCGTAGCAACAATCGGGCCCCACCTTACTCCAGTACGGCTGCTCCGCTACTGTTGTTCCCATCGTACTCCGAGACCAAAAAAAACGAAATACTTTCGAGCACAGGGAAAACTACCGAATGTCTGCCCGACACGCTAGCGAAATGCCGAACAAGTATAACCTCCCAAGGTCCGACACGTGAGCATGCTCCAATTTGGGTACTTTCCTGGTGTTCGAAAGTCTGGTGGTCAAGGCTAGAACAGGGCCGGAATATCATCATGCTGCGTATCGGATGAAAAATCGTGCGGGGGACTTCCCCAGGGGTAGATCTTCATCCTGGATCCGTCTCTCGCGATCCCGGGGCTAGAACACGGCCCCCCAGAGGCCAAAAGCGACGAAGCGCCGAAGACGACGTGTAAAACAGCAAAATCAACAATCAAATTGCATTGCCAGGGAGAGGGGGAGGAGGAGGAGGAGGAGGAGGAGGAGGAGGAGGAGGAGGAGGAGGAGGAGGAGGAGGAGGAGGAGGAGGAGGAGGAGGAGGAGGAGAAGGAGGAGGGGGAGGAACGCCAGTGTCTTCATGCGGTTCGTCAGGCTCGGCCGGCGGGCGGGGCCAGGCTCAGAAGTGCTGGCTAAGCCTGTCCAGGGCGGTCCTGTGGCAGGTCTTGCGCACGGAATAGGAAGGGGTTGTCGCAGAGGTAGTGGAAAGCTTGACTTCCAAGAAAAAGTAGTTCAGGACGACGAGGTTGCGCGCCGTGGTCTGGCGCGGGAACTCGTGGGCGGCCTCCTCCGGATAGTCTGCGCGGGTGCCGAGCACGAGGCGATGTGGAACCTCCCTGTGCGCAAATTTGGGCGGCTCTGTGACCCAATGAAAGGCGCGACGACATTGAACGTAGTGGCTGATCTCGTCGAGGCCGTCTTCGCAGCCGAAGAGGCATGCGTGGCGCGTGGGCAAGACATGCATGCGGCAGCTCGTGCGCCAGCCGCCCGCTGGAGTCTGCAACACAACCCACCGCCAGGCTGGCGGCTGTGAGGCAAAGAACTCCCAGAGACCGTGCCATCGATCTCGGCGATCGTTCTGGACGCATTCCGTCCCGGTCCACGCCGCAAGGCTTCCGCGAGGTGTACTCGAAGTTGTCGGGGTAGCACTCTGCTTGGACATGACGAACAACATCCCGTTGAGGGTGGGGGCGCGCGCCGGCTTTCTCGGGCAACTTCGCAACGCGCCGTGCCTTCGCGGCGGCCGCCTTGCACATGGTTGCCCTTGCTGCCAAGCGGCCTGTCCTGTGAGGCAGCTTGGGGCGCCGTGCGATTGCCGCGCCCATGTTCCAGAAGGCGGGAGACCACTGTCCCACGACGAGTCGAGGAAGACCAACCTGACGAACAGTCACCGCCTCCAGCCGCCGAAGCGCCGATCTCCATAAGGGGACGGTGCGCTCCGCTGTGCGCCACAATGCCCCCGCCGCTAGGGCGCGCATCGACCGTTCTCCTGACGTTGGGAGCCACGCGTCGAAGGCGAGGATATCCGAGAGCCTGACTGTGGACGGCGGCAGCCGCAGTACCCCGTGGAGCGCATGAAACTCCTTGCGGACACGGGCCTTCGGCGGTGAGAAAAACTGCGCAAGGTATGAGAGGACAGGCAAGCACGCTGTACCGTAGAGCCGCACGTTGGAATCCACGGGCGCGCCCGAATGTCCAGCATGTACAATGCGGCGCCACCACTGGCCAGCCGCATCCCGCCATTGGTTCTCCTCTGTGGCGCCGGGGCTGATAACGAGGTGCGCAGGCATTTGCTTTTGCCCTCGATTCGGAAGCCCTTCCACAGAGGAACGAGGAGCTCCACGAAATGGCGGACTCGGCGGACCAGCCCCTCCGAGAGCGGCGCCCAGAGAGGAAGGATGACGCACTTCTTCGGTTGAATATGCAAGTTGCCAAGCTCGCCAGCATAATCAAATGTGCTCGCAAGACGTGGAAATTGTCTGACATTTCGGTTGACCACCGCGACGTCGTCGGCGCAAGCAGCAGCCAGGCCGCCATGGTGAAGATCGCGGAGGTGAGGGTCCGAGCCCGAGGCCGATGATATCGAAAACGGCCGTGCCGGCCCATCCGCTATCGCCTGGCCGCGCGGTGGCCCCCCTGGCGCCACGGACGAGGTAGCAGCGGTGAACTGGTTGGCAAGGTCGGCATAGCAATAGGATTTGGTCTCGAAAACGGGCATACCAGCCTATCCCTTATCAACAAGTCGCTCGGTGGCCCGCCTGGTGCCACGGACGAGAGAGCAGCTGCGGGGATGGCTGGCAAGGTCGGCATAGCCGCAGGGGTAGGCAGCACCGCGGCGAGAGCACGAAGGACCGGATCCACGGCCGCCGCCCAAACGCTGCCCGGAAGCGGGCAACCTTGAGCAAAACCGCTGGCCAAGACGCACAGAAAGCGATGAACTCCACCAAGCAGTACATAGCCCTCCGCGTCTGCGTACAGAGCGTGGACCGCATTGAGGAAGCCCTGCTGGAATCCGAAGCGCCTCAGCGCCGCGCCCCCGATCGTTGCTCCACGGACAAACACTACTGGGTCAAGACGTCGAGCCAATTTGCCATCTCGTCTTCCAGCCAACCAGGCGGGGCTGCACCGGCGCGGCGCAGGGCCGCTCCCTCCGCGGGGGAGGCGGTCGCGACCGTTCCCCTCATCGGCCACGCTGGCGCTGCTACCTGGAGTTTCACTATCTCTTCGTCGTGGCACGTCTCGACGCGGATCGCCGCCGCGTCCAGCTCGATACTCGTTCTTGCCATCGTGGGCTCGGCTTCGCCTGGCGGCATCACCTGGCCCAGGTACTCGTCGATATCGAGTCTCGCTTTCCCGCCGACGTCGCATTCCTTCAGACTCTGTAGGAGGCCGATTGCCATGCTCGCCACTGGGCCGCCCACCTCTCGCAACGCCTCGGCGCGGCGCTGCGCGGAGAGCGCGAGGGTGTCGATAGTGGCCCCCGACGCCAGCCGCAGCCTGAACGAGCTCTGAAGCGTCTTGTCGCTGTGGCGCCCGCGCCCGCGGCGCCTGCCACCTCGGCGACCGCCCCTGCCGCCCTTGCCTTTCGCCTCGCCATCATTGTCGCTCTTGCTGCCCTGGCCCCCGCCCGTCATCTGCGCGTCGCCGTCCTTCTCGCCCTTCTCGGTCATCTTCTGCGGCGGCGGCTTGCCCCCCGAACCGTCGCCCCCAGAGGCGCTGGAGGCGGGGGGGGGGGCCCTTGAGGAGCCGCCGGGGGGCGGGCCTCGCCTCGCGGGAGAGCTCCGGCGCCGACGCCGCCGTCGCGATCGCCTGCTGCTGCCGTTGCGCAAACGGGCCGAACAAGCAAGGGAGCGTTCGCGGCTGCGAACCGCGATGGCGCGCTCTGGGCCCTGTCCAGGGCAGGGGCCGGCACTAGCGCTGGCACTGCGCGCGGCAGCCGCGCTGCCTGGGGCCGCTGCCGAGATCTCGCCGAGGCCGCCGTTCACCAAATGCTGCTAGTCTTTGAAAGCCTGCTCGCAGCTGCTCTCGCTCCTCAGAGGTGTCCTCTGGCCGCCGCGAGGGCGGCGGCAGCTCGGCGCGCTCGAGGGGGCCTCGAACGCCGCTGGCCGGGCGCGGCCGCAACGTCTTGAGCCGAGAACCTGACGGACATGGGGGAATGCGGGCTCGCACGCGTCTTCTCAACTCCATCGGGTCTGAGCGATGAACGCGGCATCCAGGCGGGTCGCAATATTCCTTCACAGGACGCACATGGGCCTCCAAGCCTGGCCAGACTCGGCCTGCTACATTCGCCAAGAACATGCTGCGCTTGCTCCTTGGTGCCCCTGTTAGTAGCTGGCGCGCTAAGATTTCGTGTTTGTGCCCGCGTGCTGCGCGTGTCCCCCTCCGACAAGTTCCCATATTAAATGCCATTGTGAAAGCGGTCGGGGCCCGGGGCCTCTCGCGCGGCACCCCTCGGCACAACCAGGATTCGAACCAGGTCGCCGATGAAACCTCCGAACGCCAGGTGACCCAAGCGGTCGAACAGTGGACTCTTGCACGCCATGCTATCGCCCAAGACCAGCCCGAGTTCACGCTGCCAGGCGCTGGCGATAGGGTAGAAGAACTCCATGAAAATCTCTGGCTCATTCGAGTCGCCCATCCTTCCACCCGTCGTCGGCCTCATCGCTGCGTCGCAGTAACCTCGAAGTAGAGAATGCCCGTGCTCCCATGTTGTGTAAACAGCTCGTCGTAATACTCGTCGTAATACTCATTTGCTCCTCGAGACGTATGCGCGTCATGTAAGCGTGCGTGATGTCCTGTGCCGAACGCGCTTCTCATTACATACGGTCCTACGATTTGAACAGGTAATAGTGTCTGCGTCGGCGCAAATTCCACATGGCGAATTTGATGCGGATCATGAGCCCCTCCCTCCTCCTGTGAATGATGCCACCGTGCGCCCAGGGGGGGTGCGAACTGGCTGCCATAGTCGGCTAGGCTGACGCGCAGGAGCAGCCTCCACCATCGACAGAAACGGTACAATAATCGCAGACACCGTGTGATATCTTGTACAGTATTGCCCGCGGGTGTCTTGCCAGCCTTGCTGATAGCTGTTGCATGACTCGTGCGTGATTGCTGTGGGAGTAGCTGCCGTGCGCGAGCATGTGCTAGCAACTGGAATAGCATATCATATCCTGAACTCGCCTGGACTTCGTCTACCACCAGCCGGCGGCGTCGCGGCCGGGCTGCCCGAGTTCCGAAGTCCAAGTGGTCAGGGTCACGTGCACGCCACGTGGATCCCAAGCCCTCGCGAAAGAGGCCTGGGTGAAAACAATTAAGTGCGGAAAAGGAACAGCTTCGTGACCCCAACGGGCCATGACCATGGTGGGGCGTAGCGGCGGTGATGACAATGACGGGGTCGCCTCTTCAGGTGTTCTAAGTCCCCAGCCGCCTGCTCCAGATCCTCGTTCGTGGGTAGAGGGAGACCTCGGGGCCCGTATGGTGGAAGCTCATCCCAAGGGGTTTCGATCAGGGCCTTTTATTTTGTCGGGTTTCAGATGCGTACCTCAGACCGTGTCGACCGCCGTCAGGCCGCCCTCCACCTCTGGTTTCTGAAGGGCCTCCCGAAACTCAGCGGAGCTGGGGCGGCTCATCGGGAGGGCGAGGTAACACCTTTTACGGGGCCCCATCCTGGTACCAGCTCGGAGTCGAACGAGTTTGCCTACTCTAGCTTGGTCCCGCACCTCCCATGCCTCCCGTATTTCCAGTTCCAGTGACTCCCTCCTCCACCATTCAAACCATCGAGCGTGTAACCTAATCGCCCTGTCGATTCGTCGGATGGGGCTCGCTTGTCGTCAGGAACCCCAGGTCGCGTAAGGTAGCTCGTTCCTCTAGTAATCTGCGACGTTCAGCCTTAGCCTCCTGGAGCCAGTCTGGGATCACGCTCTCAGCCGAAAAGAACTCACTAGCGACCTCCCTGATAACATACGCTATCGCACCAGCGTGTCGGGTCGGCCCGCCATCTGTCGTGAGGGCGCGGCACAAGATTTTCCGTTCCTCCCCCAAACCTGCCCCAGGCGCTCCAGAAACTCTCCTCTTCGGTGCCCTGTCTGAAATGTCGCCGCCAGCGCCCCAGCGCCCCCTAGCCCCACTGGATGTTCTGCTGCTGCTGCTGCTGCTGCTGCTGAGGGGTGGGTGCGGGTAAGGTCATGCAGAGGCACATGTGAGCATGGTCTATCATGTTTGGGAGGCCCTGAAGGCGTTTCTGGAATGTGCATGTTTATCCCCGTGTCCACAAGAGCTCGAGGTCCTAGGAAATAGTCGATGCGGCTTCGTGCCCCCTCTAGACTGTAGTACGTATGTCCCAGATCGAAGAAGGAATTGAGAAAACTCATGTGGCTGGCGGCGTACGCTTGGCGACTTCATCCTCATGTTCAGCCTGAAATGGGCCACGGGGAGTCCCGAGAAGGAGTCCTGAGTAGGAGGAGGAGGAGGAGGAGGAGGAGGAGGAGGAGGAGGAGGAGGAGGAGGAGGAGGAGTTCAACGGCAATGTGGGTGGCTCCCACCGTCCCATGGGGGTGCCCGGAGGAGAGCTGGCGGCCCCCTGTTGCGGCAAGACCTGAGAGCCCCCCAGGCTATATTGCTGGCCCTTGCGAATCGACGCTGACCGACGCCAATCGACGCTGGTGATCGATACTGGTGATCGACGCTAACCCACGCTAGATCATCATCGATTACCACACGCTGGCGCACGCCAGTGCGTTCTAGCAAAGAAATTTCGGGGACACGCGAGGCTCCTATGATTCGCTACCGAAGCCCCCCCCCCAACGGTGGTGACCCCCCTTCTTAGGCCGGGCTAACGGCGATGCTGCTTAACGGTGATGTGGGGAACCAAAAGTGCAGGAAAGCACGAACCACACTCTCCTGCATCTCCAATCTGCAAATGGATCGAGCGGACACGGCACAGCGAAGTGCGGGAACCCGCGAGCCACGCATTCCCACACTACCGAAACTACACAAAGAAAAAACTACATAAACATACTCTTGTGGCGCTCCGTGCGGAATTCTAGGTTCCGCGCTGGAACTCCCGCCCTGGCGCGCGGAGCGCGCCAGGGGCGGCGCCAGAGGCGCCGCCAGGGGGGCCACAACGCGCACCAGGGGCGGCGCCAGAGGCGCCGTCAAGGGGGCCAAACTGCGGATCCAAGAAATCCGCGCGGAGCGCCAGAGGCTCATGTTTCTATGGCGTGCTTTCTTCTTCGCGAAGCCAGCATCGCCGCTGCCCGCATCGCCGTCAGCCCGCCGACGGCCCTTGGCACTGCCCGAGCACCACGTCCCTCCACGGCAGCCGCGGCGGCCTGGCCCTGCCTCCGCCCAGCTGCTTCGCGCCTGGCCGCGTGGCCTCCGACCGCGGGGCTCCCGCCTCCACCACCTCGATGAGCGCCTCCACGGCCTCTTGAGGTTAGGAAGCAATGGTCGGACCAGAGCAAAATCAGACTTTGACCTCCCAGGGGTTGCATCCGAATTGAAGGGGAACGGCAGGGGGGAACTGCAGGAGCATCGAGGCTTCGAGGGTCGAGGCCTCGGACCTTGGAGCATGCTTGGCAATTTCTTCAGCCTCTGGGAGCCCTCGCCGGGCCCTGGGGCCGGAGGAAGGAACGGTCCCCGGGAAGGGGTCCAGACCTCTGGGGGTTGACGTTGCCAAAAACATCACGACGTCGGAGGTCTGGGCCCTTGCCCCTCCCCGCTTCTGAGGAGGCACTTTTTTGAACGAGTTCGTCGCTTCTCGTCGCTTTCCCAGCCTCGGGATGTTTTCCATCAGCTGCGCCTCGCCGAGAGCGTTCCGGGGGCGCCCATCGTCCCGAACGGCCGCCGGAGGCCCGAGTTAGGACCCGAAAACCACCAAGGGGGACCTGCTCAGGGGGGGAAACCTCGACCTAGAGTTGGCGAGACATCGCCGGACGACCTGCGAGAAGCCCCTGAGAGCGAATCCGCACGTTCCTGGGCGGGGTGGGCTGTCAGGCCCCTGCCGTCGATGAGTGGGCGGTTGGGGGTTGATTTAGAAGGTCCAGGTTTCGGTGAGGATTGGCTCCCCCAAAAAAATGTCCGACCCCCCCTCGAGACCGTCCGAAAAGTCTCCTTCAGGGAAGGTTTCCGGAGGGTTTCGGGAGGGTTTCGGCCGATTCTGGGGGGCAGAAACAAGTCCCCAGCGAAACCTGTATTTCCTAAGCCTATCCCCCTATCAGGCCCCTGTCGACGATGAGTGGGCGATTGAGGGTCCATGTGCCTCCCCCCGAGCCTGCCCCCCCCCAACCTTGCCCCTGCGCCTGGCGCGGATCGATCGCGGGCACGTAGGTTTGCCTCTTGCGCTTCAGCTGCCGTCTCTCGCTGACGACGCCGTCCTCTTTCGGGTCGTCGCCGCCGCCGAACTCCTCGCGGTCAGGGGCCCAGCCGTCTCCCTCAGGGGGCGATCATAAAATGGGCCCAAGGGTGACACACATACATCGACACACATTCCAATGAATCACATAGGTTCCACATGATCTCCCTCTTCCAATCCATTCTGGATGCTCAACATGTTCATAAACATGAGCGTTCCATTGTGCTCGTGATCCTTCTTCCCTTCTAGAACAAATGTGCGCACGCGCGCGCGCAGGCACACACACACACACACTGACACACTTTCCGGTCGTAGCATGCCAATGACACACCTGGCCGTTCAACGCCCGCGCGTCGAGCCGCGCGAGCGCCCATTTGCGGAAAGTAAGGCAGCGGCCAAGCTGGCCCGAATTAGGACGACAAGGGATCCAGCGGCAAGACAAAAGGAAAGGAGGGCCAAGCAAAGAGAGGGATAATCGAAGAGCGAGGAACGACATCGGACAGCCCAGCGAGGAGACGGACGGACGCGAGGGACCGGGGCCGACCGACGGGGGAGGGGAAGCCTAGGGAAGAAACACACCAAGGCTGCGCCAACGGCGTGCTTGGTTAACGGTGCGGTTGGGAATCTGGCTTTTGTGACACCGAACTCGCGCAGAACAAAGTGTGGGGAATCACGAAACATCGTTTCCTAGATTTCAGATGTGCGAATGTATCGGGCGAAAACGACACAGAGGGTTGTAGAAAAAAATAAACACGAACCACGCGTTCCTACAATTGGTTTGGCCACGGACCACGCCTTCCCACAAGTGTTGTTCTTACATCGCCGTTAGCTAACACACCGATAGCGCGTCTACGGACACAACACACACAAGGGGAAGGCACAGCACGAAGAGGGGAAGGAGCCAGCAGAGGAAGGAGGCGAGAGGAGAGAAGGCAGTACCACACCAAGGCAGGGGGGGAGAACAGGGACACAGGTGGGCCGAAGGCCCGCTGGGCGGGAAGTGCACGAGACTGGCCGTGCCTCGGGAGGGGGGGATGGCGGGGAGGGGAGGAGACGACAACGACAAAAGGGGAACACGAGGAGGGGAGGATGACCAGCGACAGCCTATCGCCTCCGGGCAGGCTTGGGCAGAGAGCGTGCGGAGGACCCCCCTTCGCGAGGGGAGCGGAGTTGTCTCCCCCCGCCAAAGGGGACTGAGGAGAGTGCGCCCGCAACGCCGGACAGGCACGCAGCACGCAGTACTAGGGGAACGAACAATGACATTAACATGACAACTCGGAGGTCCGCGCGGACTTCTCAGATCGGCGCTGGACCCCCCTCCCTGGCGCGCGGACCAGGGGCGGCGCCGCCGCCAGAGAGCTCCAGCGCAGATCCGAGAAATCCGCGCGGGCCTCCGAGTTTTCATGTTGATGTCATTGTTCTTTCCCCTGAATACTTGCGCGGATGCGGGACGCGCGGATGACCCCCCCGACGGGGAGCGGATTGCCCCCCTGCAGCGGGGACTGCGAATCTGCGCTCGTAGCATCCCGCATCCGGGAGAGGGGGAGCAGCGGGGAGAGGCGCCGACAGAAGGGAACTCGAGGGGGGGAGGATGCCCCCCTGGACGGGGGGCGGAGAACCCCCCGCCAAGAGGAGTGAGAAAAGGGCGCTCGCAGCACCTGACATCGGGGAGTTCGGGAAAGGCGGGGAGAGACGAGGACGACGACGACAGACGAGGAAAAGGACGAGGAGGGGGGAGATGTGACGAGAAATGCAAGTTGCCGAGAACCCGCGCGCGTGTGGCAAGGAATTGAAGCGAATGTGCCTTATTTACTTCAAATCCGCCCCTGTCGCCACAATTCTGAGCATTTCAGCTGGGGGGCGGGGCCCAAGGCGGTTGCGCGAAGACCCTCTCACGCGCTCCCTGCCGGAGTGGCGGGTGCGCGGGAGCCCCGCCCCACCCTGGCGGTTGCCGCGAAGACAGAACGGATGGTGGGCCCAATAACACAGAACTGCAATGCGCACTGTGAGGTGTACCGAGGCAGGTAACTACGCTGTAGTATGCCGTCTGTCCGCATGCTGTTGCCGCACGCTGTTGGCGCAGCGTGGGCAACGACTGGCCACCGAGCTTGGTCAAACCGCGTAGATGGCAAGACACACAGAACGCAAGTTAAAATCAACAAGCTGGCGCCATTGGAGAAATGTTGAAGCAGTAACAACTAAACAACATCAAGCTGAAAGACAGGCACATGCATGAACTGCAGCAGGAATCCACAGCGAGGAAGGGCCGTAAATAGCCGTGAGGAATGAGCATGCGAGCGTAGGGGTAATGCACACCGGCAGGTCACATGTATCAAACCAGCTGACGGCATCAAGCTGCAAGCCAAACACAAACACATCATGCACAGGATAGGCACAGCGAGGTAATGCCGTAGCCGTGCGGTATACCAATCGCACGCTTAATAACAATGCAAACGAGACCTCACGGATACCAACCGGCGAAACCTTTTTCGAGCGCCAGCTCACGGAAAACATGTCAAGGGCTGGGCGGTGGGAGTGCACGAGCGGATACAAACACGACATCAAGCTGCAAGACAACCACGCTCGCAGAATGCAGGAGTTACCTGCGACGAGGCGGAGCCGTAGCCGTGATGTAAGAGCACGCGCGCGGAAGAATTATGCAACCGACAGCTGGCGGACATCCCACCAGCACAACAATCGGCATCAAGCTGCAGGTCACGCACTCGTGCAGAGGGTAACTATGTACACAGCGAGGCGGGAGCAGTAGCCGAGGGAGAGACAATGATGCACGCTTAGAGAACATGCCAGCGGTGACGCACATATCTCGAACGGTAGAACCAATAGCAAGCACAACAACTATTAAGCTGCAAAGCAACCACCTCACACAATGCAACAGAGATCCACGGCGAGGCGGAGCAGTAGCCGTGAGATGAGAGCTTGGACGCTGAAGGCAATTGCAAAACGACAGGCCACATCTATCAAATCGGCACACCACCAATCGACATCAAGCTGCAAGTCAAACACAAACACAGAACGCACAGGAGATACACAGCGAGGCAATGCCGTTGCCGTGAGACAGACAAAACGTACGCTTAAGAACAATGCAACGACAGCTCACAAACATCGAGCGGTAAGAACACTCGCAAGCATCATCGAAGAAAGGCTGGCACTGGTACCATGCCGTGGGCCGCCTCTTGCAAGCACCCCCTCCCGAGGCGCGCCACGCCCCGGGGCCATTCCATGAAACAGGCGATGCTCGGGGAGGCCTGCAGCATCCTCTCCTTGTTGGACGGCACCACCGCGACGCGTTCACGATCCCCCTGCTGATTGCCCCGCCCTGCTGTCGTAGCTGGTGGCGTCCTCCACCAGGGTGGCGGTGGCCAGGCTGGCGGCACGAATCCCGAGGCTGACCGCGCTGGCATCCAGCAGCCCGAGGAAGGGGAAGAGCGCCTTCTCCAAGTCCTCAGGCGCAATGCGCCTGAGCATCTGGATGGCCTCCAGGCCATCCTGGATGAGCTGTGCCGTCTTCTGCGGCGCCTGGCCCAGCTCTTCTGGACAGTCGCGTCCGCCCTCTTCGTCACGTGGCAGCCGAAGCCCTCGACGAGCCCCTCGAACTGCACCTGCAGCGCTGCGGAGAGGCCAAGACGGCGTCCACCATGTAGCACGCGTTGATGTCCGCGAGGCCGCCCGCGGAGACCCCCAGCACAGCTGCACCGCGCGAGCCGCCGTGTGGCCGGCTGCACCTGCGGCGCCCGTGGCGCGTCGCCAGCGGCGCCCGCAGAGTCGTCGGCGCGGCGCCCCCTGCGTGAATCCGAAGTCCGCCAAGAGACACCGTTGGCCGCAGAGCCGTTTGAGCAGAGCGAGTCCAGGTGGAAAACGGAGAATGCCACGACCGAGGTGAGCAGCGAACCGAGTCCGTGAGGACCATCTAAGAGAGGGAACCCAGACATCCACATCCACCCGCCACGTCCTGTTGCCAGAGCCCTCCTTGACCTCATCCCGCTTCCAATGGCAGAGGCAGCTACAGCTGCAAACTGACGCGCGGAAACGGGCAAATGGCCTGGCGGAACGTGTATGCTGT